AAGATCAAGGCTATGCTCACACTCAGAGAGCAGCCGTCCTCCTGTGGACTCACCACCTGCAGAGGGTCAGTGAGGGGCTGGTGCTATGAGACTTGGGTGGCATCTCTGATTGCCACCCCCCTGACCCAGAAATGGATTAAAGGGTAGAAAATGGATGGATGGATGGATGGATACCAATTTTTTTTTAAAAATTGTAAAACCAAAAAAAGAAAATGCATTTTTATTTTTTTTTTATTTTTTTTCAAAATCGATATTGATACTTGGCAAATGCATATCGATAATCGAATCGCGGGAGAAAGTATCGCGATATCTCGAAAAATCGATATATCGTCACACCCCTAGAGACCAGAGTGAGAGACTGAACTGGTAGAGAGCAGAAAGAGAGACTAGGGAGAGACCAGAGAGACAAATAAACATGCCTTGTCTGTTTTCTCTGTGCAGAAATGGTTCTCGGGCGACGAGCTGGACGTGCGCTCGATCATGGACACGTGGACCCTGCAGGAGGGGTTTCCTCTGGTGACTGTGGAGGTCCGAGGGCGACAGGTCAAACTGAGCCAAGAGAGATACCTGAAGACCAGCGACCCCTCCCTCACCCACGGGTCTGAACTCAAATATATCATAGACTAGAGAGAAACTAGAGAGAAACTAGAGAGAGGCCAGAGAGATGTTCTGGTTGTGTATTAGCCGTCACTAAGTCTGGACTTTAGCATTGACCCTTATCATAACTTTACAAATGTATTTTACTGATTGCTGATGTAACGATCTGAACCTTTTTCTCTCAAACAGGTTTTTGTGGCAAATCCCCCTGACCTATAAGACCAGTGCCTCCAACACCGTGCACCGCTTTCTGTTAAAGACCAAAACAGGCGAGTACAAGTCACACGTCGATGGTGTGGTATGTTTATGTTTGTATGTATGTATGTAACCATGGCAACATATTATATACATACACCATTTATATTGTCTTTGCATTTGTGCAACATGAACAAACAGGAACAGAAGGAAGACAAAAAATGTATATCATTTTTAGTTGCAAAGACAAAATGTCAAACCACAGAGAGAGACCAGAAAGAGAGAGACCAGAAAGAGAGAGACCAGAAAGAGAGAGACCAGAAAGAGAGAGACCAGAAAGAGAGTGACCAGAAAGAGTGACCAGAGAGAGAGAGAGACCAGAAAGAGAGAGCCCAGAGAGAGAGAGACCAGAAAGAGGGAGACCAGAAAGAGGGAGACCAGAAAGAGGGAGACCAGAAAGAGGGAGACCAGAAAGAGGGAGACCAGAAAGAGTGACCAGAGAGAGAGAGACCAGAGAGAGAGAGAGAGAGACCAGAGAGGGAGAGAGAGACCAGAGAGAGAGGGCGATCAGAGAGCGAGGGAGAAGACCAGAGAGAGGTCGCTTTTAGACAGAAGTGTTCAATGTTTGTGCCAGAAGTTCACAATTTTAGCATGGATGGATCTACGAACAAGTTCAGGTCTGTTTTGATGAGGAACAAAGTTGTATCAAGGAGAAAAGAGTCATCAGTGAAGTGATCAGTAAAATCTTTAAATCAAGACGGACATGGAGGCAGTGGAGGGACACTAACACAGGGGTGATGTGTTCCCTCTGGTTAAAACCCAGTGAATAAATCTGCCGAACCAGCTTTTCTGCCTCAAAAAGCTCAGTTTGAATGTGATCTCTTACTTATTTTCTTCCCTCTCCTCCTGCAGATGTGCTGTTCCTGCCGGAGGAGGTCAGCTGGGTGAAGTTTAACGTGGACATGAGTGGGTATTACATGGTGCACTACGCAGACGGCGGCTGGGACTCCATCACCGAACTGCTCCGACACAACCACACGGCTCTGAGCAGCAACGACCGAGCCAGCCTCGTCCAGAACGTCTTCCAGCTCGTCAGGTAAGGTCTGGTCTGGTCTGGTATGATTTCTACTGACGGTATATGATAAATATTAGGGCTGGGAATAGGGAGAAATATGAGGATTCGATAGTATTGCAATATTTGGGCCTCAATTAAATATTATTGCAATACATAATAAAGAGACACAGAGGGATCAGAAAGGACCAGAGGGAGAGAGTGACCAGAGGGAGAGAGTGACCAGAGGGAGAGAGTGACCAGAGGGAGAGAGTGACCAGAGGGAGAGAGTGACCAGAGGGAGAGAGTGACCAGAGGGAGAGAGTGACCAGAGAGAGTGACCAGAGAGAGTGACCAGAGAGGGAGACCAGAGAGGGAGACCAGAGAGGGAGACCAGAGAGGGAGACCAGAGAGGGAGACCAGAGAGGGAGACCAGAGAGGGAGACCAGAGAGGGAGAGACCAGAGAGGGAGACCAGAGAGGGAGAGACCAGAGAGGGAGAGACCAGAGAGGGAGACCAGAGAGGGAGACCAGAGAGGGAGACCAGAGAGGGAGACCAGAGAGGGAGACCAGAGAGGGAGACCAGAGAGGGAGACCAGAGAGGGAGACCAGAGAGGGAGAGACCAGAGAGGGAGAGACCAGAGAGGGAGAGACCAGAGAGGGAGAGACCAGAGAGGGAGAGACCAGAGAGGGAGAGACCAGAGAGGGAGAGACCAGAGAGGGAGAGACCAGAGAGGGAGAGACCAGAGAGGGAGAGACCAGAGAGGGAGAGACCAGAGAGGGAGAGACCAGAGAGGGAGAGACCAGAGAGGGAGAGACCAGAGAGGGAGAGACCAGAGAGGGGGAGACCAGAGAGGGGGAGACCAGAGAGGGGGAGACCAGAGAGGGGGAGACAGTATCTTTCCCATGTGCATAATAGGTAAATGACAGAAGCTTTTGCCTAAATCCTAATCGCGTGTTTTAAATAGAGAGGTTTCTTCTCTTTTCCAGCGTGGGGAAGGTGAGACTGGACCAGGCCCTGGAGCTGTCCCTGTATCTGTCCAAAGAGACGGAGGTTATGGCCGTGACGCAGGGATTCGGAGAACTGGTGCCTTTTTACAAACTCATGGAGAAACGGGACATGCCGGTCCTCGAGAACCAGATGAAGGTGAGTTTGAGGGTTTCTCTGTTTTCAGGAGAACGTCAAATATCACATACAGTGTTCTATCTGTGCATGACAGTAACCTCCCAGTTTTACAACAGGTAAATGACCAGAGAGAGAGTAGAGACCAGCGCGAGACCAGAGGCAGAGAGACCAGAGGCAGAGAGACCAGAGGCAGAGAGACCAGAGGCAGAGAGACCAGAGGCAGAGAGACCAGAGGCAGAGAGACCAGAGGCAGAGAGACCAGAGGCAGAGAGACCAGAGGCAGAGAGACCAGAGGCAGAGAGACCAGAGGCAGAGAGACCAGAGGCAGAGAGACCAGAGGCAGAGAGACCAGAGGCAGAGAGACCAGAGGCAGAGAGACCAGAGGCAGAGAGACCAGAGGCAGAGAGACCAGAGGCAGAGAGACCAGAGGCAGAGAGACCAGAGGCAGAGAGACCAGAGGCAGAGAGACCAGAGGCAGAGAGACCAGAGGCAGAGAGACCAGAGGCAGAGAGACCAGAGGCAGAGAGACCAGAGGCAGAGAGACCAGAGGCAGAGAGACCAGAGGCAGAGAGACCAGAGGCAGCTAGACCAGAGGCAGCTAGACCAGAGGCAGCTAGACCAGAGGCAGCTAGACCAGAGGCAGAGAGACCAGAGGCAGAGAGACCAGAGGCAGAGAGACCAGAGGCAGAGAGACCAGAGGCAGAGAGACCAGAGGCAGAGAGACCAGAGGCAGAGAGACCAGAGGCAGAGAGACCAGAGGCAGAGAGACCAGAGGCAGAGAGACCAGAGGCAGAGAGACCAGAGGCAGAGAGACCAGAGGCAGAGAGACCAGAGGCAGCTAGACCAGAGGCAGCTAGACCAGAGGCAGCTAGACCAGAGGCAGAGAGACCAGAGGCAGAGAGACCAGAGGCAGAGAGACCAGAGGCAGAGAGACCAGAGGCAGAGAGACCAGAGGCAGAGAGACCAGAGGCAGAGAGACCATATTAGTCTGGCATAGTGATTTCTTGTGTGTTTGTGTGAGTTTTGTGTGCGTTCTAAAGCCTCATTCCCGGCGTTCCCTCAGGACTTCATCGTGGATCTGTTCCGGAGCCTGATCGACCGGCAGCAGTGGAGCGACTCGGGCTCGGTGCCTCAGCGGGTCCTCAGGGGGTACCTCCTGCTGTTCGCCTGCGTCCGGAACTACCCGCCCTGTGTGGAGAAGGCCACGCGGCTCTTCAACCAGTGGAAGGACTCTGATGGAAACATGAGGTCTGGAAGCTTTACAGGACAAGGAAACGGAGAAGAGAGAGACCCGTCAGAGAGAGAGGGAGAGAGAGACCAGTCAGAGAGAGAGAGGCCAGAGAGATGGAGAGAGGCCCGAGAGATGGAGAGAGGCCATAGCGTGAGAGAGGCCAAAGAGAGAGAGAGAGGGAGACCAGAAAGAAAGAGACCAGAGAGACTGCAAATGACCGATGAATTATTTAATCTTGAGAGAGAGGCATCCATGTTACTTACTTTCTTTGGTCAAAATGACATTCTGTACAACTCTAACGACTTGTCTTCATTTCCACCACGCCATGCTAGACACAGATTTAAATATAGCAGAATGTACCCGCTCTTTTATCATTTTGTGTAATTGTCTTTTGATGTTTTCTCCTCAGTCTCCCGGTGGACGTCACGATGGCCGTGTTTGTGGTCGGCGCCCGGACGCCGGAGGGGTGGGACTTCCTGTTTGAGAAATACCGTAGCTCGATCCAAATGTCGGTGAAGAGTCGCATGAAGATGGCCATGGCAGTGAGCCCCCTGCAGGACAAGCTCAGATGGTGCGAGTGATTATTTAAATACGTGAGAACTAGTTCACAGAAAGTTTTGTTCCCCAGCTTTAACTGAATATATTTGATTCTAAATCGTTATTATCGTTATTTGACCTGAAACTTAATGATTTCACCACAACCTCTAAGATTATGAGACAGAGAGACCAGAGAGAGAGACAGGCCAGAGAGAGACCAGAGAGAGAGACCAGAGAGAGAGACCAGAGAGAGAGACCGGCCAGAGAGAGACCGGCCAGAGAGAGACCAGAGAGAGAGAGACCGGCCAGAGAGAGACCGGCCAGAGAGAGACCAGAGAGAGAGAGACCGGCCAGAGAGAGACCGGCCAGAGAGAGACCAGAGAGAGAGAGACCGGCCAGAGAGAGACCGGCCAGAGAGAGACCGGCCAGAGAGAGACCAGAGAGAGAGAGACCAGAGAGAGAGAGACCGGCCAGAGAGAGACCGGCCAGAGAGAGACCAGAGCGAGAGAGAGACCAGAGAGAGAGGTGCTCTGCTCTGGAAGCACTTCATGAATCCAGCTCTTAAAATAATCACTGACTCTTCTGGCCCCTGGAATAGCCATGTTCCAGCTTCTTCCCTCTCGTTGGCTGTGATGCAGGACATATGCTTCTTTCCACAAGCTATTATCAGTCTGAACAAAGCACTTTAATGGTTGTACAGTGACAATTCTTTCTTGTTTTTTTTTTTAAATCTTGTTTTATGTATGTACTTGTCTGGTGCACACTGGGAACTTTTGCTCATGTATTCCAATGTGGTTTTACTGCAAATGGCAAATAAACTGAACTTTGACGATCCCATATTTTGTCTGCCTTCAGGATGCTGGAGCAGAGTCTGGACGGTTCCATGATGAAGACCCAGGACCTGCCGGACGTCCTGGTCTCCATCAGCAGAAACCCTGTCGGATACAAAATGGCCTGGGACTTTCTCCGGAGACACTGGCACACGCTCATCAAGAAGTGAGTGAAAAGAGAGCAGACAGAGAGAGAGGGAGGCCAGAGAGAGAGAGAGAGGCCAGAGAGAGACCAGAGAGAGGGAGGCCAGAGCAGAGAGAGAGAGGCCAGAGAGAGACCAGAGAGAGGGAGGCCAGAGCAGAGAGAGAGAGGCCAGAGAGAGACCAGAGAGAGGGAGGCCAGAGCAGAGAGAGAGAGGCCAGAGAGAGACCAGAGAGAGGGAGGCCAGAGCAGAGAGAGAGAGGCCAGAGAGAGAGGGAGGCCAGAGAGAGAGAGAGAGAGACCAGAGAGAGACACCAGAGAGAGACCAGAGAGAGAGACCAGAGAGACCAGAGAGAGGGAGGCCAGAGCAGAGAGAGAGAGGCCAGAGAGAGAGGGAGGCCAGAGAGAGAGGGAGGCCAGAGAGAGAGACCAGAGAGAGAGACCAGAGAGAGAGACCAGAGAGAGACCAGAGAGAGACCAGAGAGAGACCAGAGAGAGACCAGAGAGAGACCAGAGAGAGACCAGAGAGAGACCAGAGAGAGACCAGAGAGAGACCAGAGAGAGACCAGAGAGAGAGACCAGAGCGAGACACCAGAGCGAGACACCAGAGCGAGACACCAGAGCGAGACACCAGAGCGAGACACCAGAGCGAGACACCAGAGCGAGACACCAGAGCGAGACACCAGAGAGAGACACCAGAGAGAGACACCAGAGAGAGACACCAGAGAGAGACACCAGAGAGAGACACCAGAGAGAGACACCAGAGAGAGACACCAGAGAGAGACACCAGAGAGAGAGCTTGGTTCAGGTCACGGTCCAGAGAGGAGAGAGAGAGATGAGGTTAAACTGGAGACTGATGGTTTTTCTTGTCGTTTGCAGATTCGACCTGGGCTCCAGCACTGTGTCTTTTATGGTGATCGGTGTGACCAACCAGTACTCCACCACAGACAAGCTGCACGAGGTCAGTCTGCACTGATGGGACTGCTGTTTCTGGGACATTGTTCAGTGCATTTTTAGATTCTCAAAATCGAACAATCAATAATAAGTATCAATCAAAATGAATCAAAAGTGAAAAAGGAAATATACATTTACAATTTCTGACATTGTTACTTAACCAACTCAATGTGAAATAAATACTATTGCTGTGTTAGCGCCCCCTACAGACTGAGGGACATTTTCTATTGGGGGACTAAAGAGAGAGCCATACTTTATTTCTCACTGTGATCTGCAGAAGTGACTCTCTGTGGGTTTGGGCAAGAAGGACATTCATCATTACACACACATTTGGTTTTGCCGTTTATTTCATACTTTGTCATTAATATAAACCTCAGCCCTAACGGAAGATTGTAAAGTGTCAGACCTCAACCTTTTTTTTTTTTTCTTAACTGTGTATTTATGTTCATATGTGCATTTAATCGTTATGCATTTGTGAAAAAATGGGTTTTAAAACATGACCAAACCCCCTGAGAGGAAAACAAAAACCTTAAATCCTCACATCTTTTCAGCGACTGCATTTTTTCGTCCCGCGCCCTGCACTTTTGGGAACCAGTGGGTTAGGGTTCGGGTTATAATAATAAAAGTTTCCCGTCTCTGTCCTCAGGTTCGTAGTTTCTTCAGCTCTCTGTCTGAGGAGAGCGGCTCCGACATGCGCTGCATCCGACAGACGCTGGAGACGATCGAAGACAATATTCGCTGGATGGACTCTCACCTCCCACTGCTGCAGCGATGGCTACAGGCACGACACACTGCTGCACATGAAGCACAGGAGAAGAGCATACATGAAGACTTATAGAGACCAGAGAGAGAGACCAGAGAGAGAGACCAGAGAGAGAGAGAGACCGGAGTGCGAGAGAGACCGGAGTGCGAGAGAGACCGGAGAGAGAGACCGGAGAGAGAGACCAGAGAGAGAGACCAGAGAGAGAGACCAGAGAGAGAGACCAGAGAGAGAGAGAGAGAGACCAGAGAGAGAGAGACCAGAGAGAGAGAGACCAGAGAGAGAGAGACCAGAGAGAGAGAGACCAGAGAGAGAGAGACCAGAGAGAGACCAGAGAGAGACCAGAGAGAGAGAGACCAGAGAGAGAGAGACCGGAGAGAGAGAGACCGACCAGAATAACTTAAAACACAAAAACCAAACATATAAGAAGTATGTAACCACGTAAACCGGATACTTCGGAGACATTATCCAATCAGAGAAGAGCAGAATGACCCTCACTCAGGTTAACAGTTCCCTTGTCCTCGAGAGACACACACACACACACACACACACACTGGCTACAACAATACACCAGTGACAGAAATTTACGGAAAATGTAATCCATTTTTTCTATCTTTGGACATAAGTAAATTATCGTCGTCAGTCTCAATTACTTGAAAGTCCATTTGGAATTGATACAAAAGTGCAAATTTATTTGTGGGATGTCGGGAAATGGTTTTGTTATGTTGACCTTATTGTATGTATTCAGAAGTGTGTGTATATTTGGATACAGAGAATATTTGTTGCAAGGAATTTTGCACTAGTCTTTAATGAGTGATTCTCAGAAGTTTTTTTTCAACCTCCACACAACGCTAGACTAGGTGTATATTTGTTAACTCTGGTGCTTAACCTCAGGACAAAATGACTCACTACAGAGACTAGAAATAGACTCTAAATGACCCAGAGACAAATCTCAAAATGCGGCTCCAAAACCAATGATTGAGTCCATTTCAATCAGTCAAATCTGTATTTGTAGAGCACATTCAAAACAGCCTAGGCACAGGGGTCTCCAACCTGTAGCTCGGGAGCCACCAGTAGCTCGCCACCCCCTTCCAGGTAGCTCGCCAAAGGATTAAGGAAATGAATAAATCAAATAGTTCACACCAATATATCACAACATTGTTCCCAGGGCCGCTTAAAGGAGTAGCTCTCTGCTTTTATCGTCCCGGGAAAGTAGCTCTCCGGGTGAAAGAGGTTGGAGACACCTGGCCTAGGCTTAGCAAAGTGCTGCACAGACAGTGAGGAGAGCAAAAAAGCACATACAGAAATATATATAGACATAAAAAACGGAAAACCTGTCTCTTTCTACCTGATATTAGAAGCCGAAGAGAAAAGGTGTGGATTTGAAAGACATGGAAATGAGCCAAAGCGATGTGTGTCGATTTGAGTGGATGTGGACAGTCAAAATACTGCTAAAATAATATGGAGAGGATGGTAATAAAAAAAATCCTTCTGTTGTTGCATCAAAACTGACCTGTTTTTAACCTGGATTTGAACATTGTCAGAGAAAAAGTCTGTCTCAAGAATATTTTTTTTTTTTTTGCATATAACTTTTTTGGACGCTCCAGAGACGCGTCATAATTCAGTCACTCCATACACTGTGGTGATAAACTACACCTGTAGCCGCAGCTGCCCTGGGGCACACTGCCAGAAGCGAGGCAACCAGTACATTCACACACACACCAGACTCATTCTAATGTGAGTGAAGTGTCTTGCCTAAGGACACAACCACAGTTTGGCACTTTACAGCCGCAGCCGCCCCCACTGTGGCACCTGGTCTCCCATCACAGTACTAACCAGGCCCTGCCCTGCTTAGCTTCAGAGGTCTGACGGGATACATTTTGTCCAATTAAAACTGTCAGTGTAAATTGGTTGTTGTTGTGGAAAAGTAGCCGTTCAGATGAAAGTGTGATGTTTCTTTTTTTTAAATGTATTTTTGGACGAAATAAAAGATTTTGACAATGATTGAAAGTGTTTTTCTTTGGTTCAATAATGACTAATGTTGATTATATTATTTATGACTTCAGAACGAGGAGAATCCAAAAGGCAGAACAAAAAACAAGACCAGCTGAGAGTCACAGTACCATAGGACTAAAGAAAATGATCTGGTTTTAAGAAAGATACAAGAAATTTCTCCCTTGGAATGAGAAAAAACGAGATGGAGAGAGAGAGAGAGAGTGCAGAGACCAGAGAAGGAGAGAGAGAGAGTGCAGAGACCAGAGAAGGAGGGAGAGAGAGAACAGAGACCAGAGAAGGAGAGAGAGTACAGAGACCAGAGAAGGAGAGAGAGAGTACAGAGACCAGAGAAGGAGAGAGAGAGAACAGAGACCAGAGAAGGAGAGAGAGAGACCAGAGAAGGAGAGGGAGAACAGAGGAGAGAGAGTACAGAGACCAGAGAAGGAGAGAGTAGAGACCAGAGAAGGAGAGAGAGAGTACAGAGACCAGAGAAGGAGAGAGAGAGAGAACAGAGACCAGAGAAGGAGAGTACAGAGAAGGAGAGAGAGAGAACAGAGACCAGAGAAGGAGAGAGAGAGACCAGAGAAGGAGAGGGAGAACAGAGGAGAGAGAGTACAGAGACCAGAGAAGGAGAGAGTACAGAGACCAGAGAAGGAGAGAGAGAGAACAGAGACCAGAGAAGGAGAGAGAGAGAGAACAGGGAGAGGTATACCAGAGGTAGACCAGAGAGGTAGACTAGAGTGAGAGACCAGAGAGAGACCAGATAAAAACCACTTGATTCGAGCATTTATTGCATGATATTGTATCATGTCTCGCAGCAGCACACACACTGAAACACACTGACACACACACACACGCACACACACCTGTCCTCTGTGACGCCAGTCCTTATCTTTAAGACTGGGAATATGTACAATCCAACTGGGATCAATAAAACCCTCAAAAATCCAATATTTCCACAGACTGTCGCCGTCACTCATGGTTCACTCATGGTTCATTCATGGTTCACTCATGGTTCATTCATGGTTCATTCATGGTTCACTCATGGTTCACTCATGGTTCATTCATGGTTCAGGACCTGTCACTTTACTGCCGCAGTAAATTCTTCCCTGAACCTTGATCACAAATTCATAAAACTCTCGGTGACTTCAAAAAAAAGTGACTGTTTTTAAGAGCGAGGAAACAGACACTTTTAATACAAAGCTGAAGGTTCTGAATGAAGAGAATTCCACTGAAAGAAGTCAAATCTTGTATGATTTATTTACGGAAAATAAAATAAATAATGTGTTTTTTATTGTAAATTTTTTAGTTGCTTGATTGTAGTTTGTCATAAGATTATTTTGTTATTATTTCTAGTTTTAAGACAATAACACTTCATAATCTTAAAAAAAAAAAAAAATCTAGCAGTTTTTTGTTATGCTTATTTTACGTTTTTTTTCAGACTTTTCTTTATTAGATAAAATAAGTATATGATGCTATATTTCTAATAATTAATTAACTAATACTTGAAATGTATGTTATTCAACTAGAATCAAGTTGTTTGGGTATTGCGTAAGTCGTAGTATTATTTTCTTATTTTCAGAAATTTTGTCAAGTCATATTTTCTTGTTCTATTTTCAGATCATTTCTCTTATTTTATTATATATTATTATTGTATATTATTTTATGTCTTATTATATATTTTTTCAAGTGATTTTGTCCAGTGTTAGTGGAAATTCACTCAATGAGGCCCCTGTGTTGTTGGGGCCCGAGCCAAAGCAGCCAGCTCCTATTACCGGCCCTGTACAGTATGTGCTTAGTATTAGTGATGGGAAAAAATCTATTCTCTTCAATATCAGAGCATTTTACACAGACAATTATATATATGCAGACTCTATGATGTCTGCTGTGACTCTATGATGTCTGCTGTGACTCTATGATGTCTGCTTGCTGTGACTCTATGATGTCTGCTGTGACTCTATGATGTCTGTTGTGACTCTATGATGTCTGCTTGCTGTGACTCTATGATGTCTGCTGTGACTCTATGATGTCTGTTGTGACTCTATGATGTCTGCTGTGACTCTATGATGTCTGTTGTGACTCTATGATGTCTGCTGTGACTCTATGATGTCTGCTGTGACTCTATGATGTCTGCTGTGACTCTATGATGTCTGCTTGCTGTGACTCTATGATGTCTGCTGTGACTCTATGATGTCTGCTGTGACTCTATGATGTCTGCTGTGACTCTATGATGTCTGTTGTGACTCTATGATGTCTGTTGTGACTCTATGATGTCTGCTGTGACTCTATGATGTCTGTTGTGACTCTATGATGTCTGCTGTGACTCTATGATGTCTGTTGTGACTCTATGTCTGTTGTGACTCTATGATGTCTGCTTATTGTGACTCTATGACGTCTGCTTGTTGTGACTCTATGATGTCTGCTGTGACTCTATGATGTCTGTTGTGACTCTATGATGTCTGCTGTGACTCTATGATGTCTGCTGTGACTCTATGATGTCTGCTTGCTGTGACTCTATGATGTCTGCTTGCTGTGACTCTATGATGTCTGCTTGCTGTGACTCTATGATGTCTGTTGTGACTCTATGATGTCTGCTTGCTGTGACTCTGATGTCTGCTGTGACTCTATGATGTCTGTTGTGACTATGATGTCTGCTGTGACTCTATGATGTCTGTTGTGACTCTATGATGTCTGCTGTGACTCTATGATGTCTGCTGTGACTCTATGATGTCTGCTGTGACTCTATGATGTCTGCTTGCTGTGACTCTATGATGTCTGCTGTGACTCTATGATGTCTGCTGTGACTCTATGATGTCTGTTGTGACTCTATGTCTGTTGTGACTCTATGATGTCTGCTTATTGTGACGCTATGACGTCTGCTTGTTGTGACTCTATGATGTCTGCTGTGACTCTATGATGTCTGTTGTGACTCTATGATGTCTGCTGTGACTCTATGATGTCTGTTGTGACTCTATGATGTCTGCTTGTTGTGACTCTATGACGTCTGCTTGTTGTGACTCTATGACGTCTGCTTGTTGTGACTCTATGATGTCTGTTGTGACTCTATGATGTCTGCTTGTTGT